AAGAAGAAGGAAGATTTTCACAAATAACTACTAACAGTAGTCGACAACATCCCGAATGGTGACATCAAAATCCTTATGGGCAATATGAATGCCAACCTTGGAGCAGATAATACACAAAGAGAACTAACTCATCATGTGTCTAGATGCTCTCGCTCGACCAAATGAATGATAACGGAGAATTATTCGCAGACGTTTGCTCTTTCCACGATTTGGTGATCAGAAGGAGCGTACAAGCACAAGGATATACACAAAGCAACAATGATTTCGCCTGAATGACATACCGCAAACCAGATAGATTTCATCCCAATACTGCTCAAGGAAGTGGAGACGCAGCTAGTCTGCTGGATACAAGGTCGAGAAGGGGAGCAGATATGGACTCAGACCACCATGTAGTTCTAGGAAACTTCAAAGTGAAGCTGAAATCCATGAAAACAAGTGCAGACAGGCCATAATTCAAATCCAACATTAGGAAACTGAAGGAGGAAAGCAGAAGGGATGTCTTCGCTACAGATATCAGAGCAAAGTCGGACACACTACGTGGCATCACTGAGGAAACCTGAATGGAAGAACATCGGAACTAACTCGGTGAAGGCGATATTCAAGGAAACGTGTACAACTGTTCTAGGAAGAAGGAAGTGACAATACGAGGAATGACTATCAACGGACACCTGGAATTTAACTGAGGAGAGGAGAGAGGAGGATGGAGGAAGAGAAGATTACTGAATGCAAAGATGGACAATAGAAGGAGAAGTTGAGTTCAATGTACACTGCACTGAAGAAAGAAGTGAAGAAGAGTGCCAGAAAAGACAAACGGCAATTCTACTATACATTGGCAATTGAAGTAGAGCAGGCTGGCCGCAGGCGAAAGAGACATCAGGACACTATATCAGATAACCAAGTCTCTATCCGGGAAGAGATCAACACAGTTGATGAAACCAATAAAAGATGCTCAAGGGAACATGATCGCCAAGAGGGAGAAGCAAATCAAACAATGGGCTGATTACTTCAAAGGACTCTTGAATCGACCAGCTCCGGTAACTCGCCGAGAAATACCACCAACAGCACGCACAGAACTGCCTGTCAGTGGACGCCATTCCTCCAACTAAAGAAGAAATCCTGAATGCGATCAAACTACTGAACACTGGCCGGGAAGGCAGCGGGATTAGACGGCATCCCTTCCGAAGCACTGAAGACGGCCCCAGAGATTACGGCAGATCTTCTCACAACATTACTGCAAAAGGTTTGCAGGGAAGAAGTGGCACCTGCCGATTGGAAAAGAGGCTGCTTTATCAAGCTGCCGAATAAGGGTGACCGGAGTGGAATCATCCCCTTGTCCACGCCAAGTAAAAATACTAAGTCGCATAATCCTGGAGAGAACAAAAATGCAATGGATACAGAAGTCCACAAGACCTGAACAAGCTGGATTCAGGGAAGGCGAATCATGTGCTGATCAAATTGCAACTCTACGCATCGTCATCACAGAACAAAGCGTAGAATGGCAGTCGAACCTCTACCTCAACTTCATTGACTTCGAGGAGGCTTTCGGCAGCGTTGACTGAGACGAAATTTGGTAACTACTTCAACACTACGGCGTACCTCAAGTCTTTATTAATCTCATTCAACACTTATGTGGCAGTGGCACGTGCCAGATTATCCACAACGGAAAACTCAGCGGGGAGTTCGAAATGAATACAGGAGTAAGACAAGCTGGTTGACTATTATCAATGATGATATGCTTAATTGTGGTGGACTGGATTATGCGTCAGACTGTTGGGGGCGAGGAGACAGGAATACGCTGGACGATCTATAAGAAGACTCTAGAACATCTGGATTTCGCAGACGATATATATCTAATATCACACAAACTCGAGGACATGCATGGGAAAAGCGACAAACTGGCTAGGAAGCTGGCAGCAAAGTCAGGACTGCAGGCGCATAGCAATAATTTAACGCTTTTATATTCCGCCGTTTATCATCGTATACACACCAGGAATGCGATATCAATTAAACGACAGTTTGTACTATCAGTCATGAATGAGTAAGAATGCGGTATTTCATTAGATGACACAATCTTTCGACTAGGTTCGAGGGACCTGAAATGGTAGAAAGTATTTCACACTTCTCAGTGAAAGTAAGGCAAATTCCTCTATGACAATCTGGAATTAAAGCCTTTACTAAGTCGAATATAATTGGGGAGCACATTACGATTCAGTGGGAACTTGTCACAATCGCACCTAATGTTGAATGGGGAAATTAAGCCAGTTAGTCATATAGCGGAATCATGCTTTTAGTTACTTCTAGTTAGTTACTTCTTTGTTCATCGAATCTACACCCAACACATGCAATAGGAATGAATCATCACTCATACCCGAAATATGGAAAATAATACTACCAATCAAATCAAGTGAAAATCAAGTGAAAAACAATGGAACTATATAAATGAATTTAGGAAGTCGTGTGATTACCTTGATATGATTATGAGCAATAAATTGTGCTCGAAACGTTGTCATCAGTAAATATTACTGTATAACACTGTGAGACTCTATCAAAATAAAAATTTACCCATAATGGAATTACATTCTACCACAGTGTCCAAGTTTTATTCTTATATGAATGATATTTAGTGTGGAACTGATATTTCTAACCTGCCTCAAGATAGTGAATGGAAACAAAATATATCTGGTTGGCACCAAACATATCACTCAGGCAGTGTCAACAGGTGTTGTCGTTGCTACGCCGGACTCTAAAAATGAAACAAAATTATTCACTGCTGGGCCACTGGAAATCTCCGACCTTTTCAGATTCCCAAATCATCGCCTCTCGCTGCACTCTAGAAATTCCCGTGATCTCTGATATTTCCGGGATTTCGACACTGTTTTGTTGAAGTAGCTTTCTTTATTAGTCTCATGTATTTGAAGTACCCATTCTGAGCCGAAAACCATGGTTTACAGGCTGATTGCGAGTGAGATTACGCCTGGTTGCTTGAGATCTTCCTTTATGTCCTCAGCGGTCGTCACATGATAACAGTAACTGGACGAAGGACAACTTTGACAACTCTGTCCAAGAGGAGATTTAAAGGAGGTTGGAGTTCGGATTGATGCCAACATCTGGACAGTTGTTTAGCTGCACAAATTCGCCAGTCACAGATACATCGACCTTAAATCCCCAAGCATACTCATTAAAATTCGTTTGGATACTCAGCAACAACTTCGTTTGGCATAGTCGCCAAGTTTCTACTATGGCAGTGGTCCCTGTTTCGTGATACCGAATAAGTAAGAGGAGTTCTTCAGTAGAAACATCTAGTACTGTTGTTAGTTCATATAGGTTGGCCCTATGAGGCAGCTGACACACTTTGCCACGACGGACCACAACGATTTAGTTGTTGTAAATGTATCTGTTCAAATTAATTCAAATGACTCTCTACTTTTGGCTTGTGTAAACATACTGCTGCTTTCCAATCATGATCTAGTTCTCCCTACAGTATCCTGAAAACATTCTGTAAGCGGCAATACGGGAACCTTGGTCAATTATCAGGTTTCTCAGCTGTGCGAACTTCAGTCAAAGCTCATGGATATCAACGTGCATCAACGGACAACTCATCCCGAAGGAGTGATTTGTGGAGGTCCTCTTCGACATATGTGGGTTAAGACATGTGGTTTAGTCTAAGGGGTAGCTTCTGTACATTTATCAGACTAACAAATTGGCACTGTTTTTATCTCGATGCATAACTTTGGGGTGCTGGATGGCAAAACTTACCACGTGCAATCTCATTGTAAGGCTGAAGCATCTGACGTGTCTTGAAAATGGATTTTGCAAAGTGGCCCATGAAGAAACATGCAGCATCATCCATCATGTCTAAATTTCTTCATCAATATCTGATGGGCTACGTGGAGTTAGTGGTTGGGTGCTCAAGACGATAGATTGGGTGCCCGATTGGAAGATGCTTCAGCCTTTAATATTTGACTAAATGGCTTGGCGTAAATAAAGTCCTTGCCCTACAGTAGTGTTGATTACTAACCTGAAGCACTGGTGTGTTCAACTTCCAATGTGTGGCCGGCCGCAGTAAATATAAGGATGACATGATGTGAGATAAACAGTTTGTGAGGGCATGAAAGCAACAAGGCTGTCAAAACCTCTTCGATGTTCTGTTACTTTGCAGTGGTCAGTCTGTCATGCCGTTTTTCCCAAAACAATATCGAAATATTTAATTTAGCGAGATGTTAAAACATAGCCTCTCAGGAGTGTGAACACTCAGATGACCTTGAACGCACTCTAGTCGTTGGCTAACGACACTTGTTGTTGTTATTGCGCAAATATGAACTCTATTCACCAAATGAAGAGCAATTTTCACCCGAATCACGTTTTCAAGTACTGTTTGGACAATAGGTTAATACCTCGATAGGGTAAGGGTTAGAATGAGGGATATAACTGGGATTAGGGTTAGGATTATGGTTAATGTTATGCTCACGATAAAACTTAGAGTTATTATTAGGTTTAGTATTGGTGTTGGTATTATTTTTTGGTTTTATTTTCCACATTTTCCAGTTAGTAGTCGTGCATCTCCTTACTGGAAACCATATTAATTCAACCGAGGGCTTTTGAAGAAGACTGCAAGACGGGATAAGAGCGATAAACGGGTCAGAATATAAGCCCACCTTCGGTCACCTCGGTGAATACATGCATAGAGACTGGTCTAATTTGAAAGACACCTTGGTTGATGTGTTTCCATGTATTTCCTCGTAAATAAACGTCATTTTTCTTGCAAACACCACTTATTTTTATGGATGGTCGGCTCAAGGTCACTCATGCGTTTTCACCACTTAGGATTCTATTGTCTAACTTTGCCTAAAATAGTATTTGAATAGGTTGAGCATTAATGTTTACTCATCTTTGAGTTACGTTTTCCAGGTCGACATTTGCCAGCTTGTTTTACTCGTTGCTAAGTCCATCCTATGGATTTCCCCTCCGATTTCGCACATTGGTGAACATATCTAGCGAAGATGAATGTTGATAAAGGAGAGTCTGTTATTTCAAACGGATTGCTCAATGAGTGTAATAAATCCAATTTCGGTGAAACGAATTTAGTTGGACAACTAAATAACATTCACATGGACAATGTAAGTAAAAGTTGAATGGAATGCTCAGCTTTACTTAGGATTCACTTAAAACTGTTCCTACTGAATTCTCTCAATTCTCATCAGAATCGAGAGATCATTTAGGAATTTCTGACACCTTCTATGCCTTCCCTTCTTACCATAAACCATGCAACTGCGCCAAATCCCATTGTCTCAAACTGTATTGTGAATGCTTTGCCCGAGGCAACGCTTGCAATAATTGCAACTGCACAAACTGCATGAACAATGGTCTTCATGAAGAAGATCGCAGGAGGGCAATAGAACTCACTTTGGAAAAAAATCCACTGGCATTTCATCCGAAAGTCGGTAAGGTGGTTCTCACTGCTTACTACTTTAGGCGACGGCGAACGACGACACTCAAAGGGGTGCAACTGCAAAAAGTCCGGCTGCCTGAAGAACTATTGCGAATGTTATGAGGTTTCATAGTAATTACTTTAACAGTCTCACTTACAGGCGAAAATTGCGTGTTCTAACCTATGTCGGTGTCAGGGATGTCGAAACGTTGGGCAGCAGCAGATGCAACCAGAATCAGACGCAGATCCTCTTCGGATCAGTGAGAAAAACTCACTGTTACACAATGGGTAGGTTGTCGCGGATACTTCTCATCTATTCAAAATCACCTTCTTTCACGTATAGTCAAGATACATTTTGTTACAAAGATAATTATGTCCAACTACCACACGCTAACCAAGCTTTCGGTGGAATATTGGGCACAATCAAATCAAATCTACCTACTGACCATGGATATATAAATAGGTCAAAATCGGTAATCTGAGTTTTTAAGTCATATTTTTAAGCTTATTTCCTACGAAGCAATTGAGGCAGCATACAGCTGTATGCTTGCTCGCGCCAATGAAACTGCACTCAAAAATCTTTCCGACTATGAACAAGAAAAGGTTATCATAGATGAATTTCTAAGATGCTCTGAGCAAATAATCCAGTCAATCATTAAGGTTTGAGTAATGTATTGTGTGTTTACGTTAATCGTGTTAGTGTTTTCACACTTCAGTTTTACTTTGTCTTCTTTATTCAGTTTAGAACGTTTGGTCGACTCTGTTAAATTTTAAAATGGGCTTTCACTTTCTGGTTTTGTTATGCCTCTTAACATCTTTTATACTGATGACAAGTGTCTCATAATACCATGGTGAGATTAATTTTATGGGGTTAAACATGCACTAATGATAACTGGGTTGGAGCTTTTAATTTTGGATGTAAACCAAGTGGAAAGTTTGAGCTGTCTTCCTTTCCAACCAGTGATGAGCTGGCGTATACTCTGCATAAACTGTAGGATAAAATACATAGATGCTTCTAGCACCTCAGTAAAATGCCTTCATCAAGATGATGGATTTGTGAAGTACTGGTGGTGCTGTTGATAAGCTACGCTGCACCAGTCCTTACTTAACGCAATTCACCTATGTGCCGAATAATTCAGTAGTCTGTCTAACCTGTAAGTACTGACGACAAAAACTCAGACTGAAAAGATTTGGTTATTAGAGAAAAAGCACTCACGTGCGCCGTATATTGGAGTAAAATAAAGGTGAAGATTATCCATGGAAACAGGCCTACAATGTATCTGACGGATATAGCTTTATTAATAACTAAAGGAGTGCGCTCATAGAGAGGTCAAGGCAAAAGCGCGAAATCGGTGAACGCTCTTACCGAGATTGATTTGTCGTGCTCTGCTAAATTTTCAGTTTCTGTGATGTTGTAGGTGCACTTGGTATGTCCACTTGAAGCTTCATACCATCCGTCAAGGGTTCTTGAAGCTGCTTTATGCTTGAGTGGAGTTCACTTATTCGTCATAATTTTGAATTTGTTTGCCTTGAATATGCGGTGTGGGTGTTAGGTCCACATTTTACTTTTGCAGTACAGATTATTTCTGCTCATTGTTAGAAGGTATCGAAAATGTTAAGACCTCTAGTTGTCTTCAGCAAGTATTATGTCAATTATTTATTGGTATGCAAGTGTACGAGTGCACCTTACTTGGACTTACTTTGACTTTATCACAAAAGCGGACGGAGTTTGTGCGAATTCGTATGTTTCACAATTGTGATACACAACAAACAGTAACATTTTCGAGATTGAGATCAAAGTGTTGGAAAGATTTGATAACTGTGATGACTTCAAGTTGTGGAGCTACTCGGTTAGCACTTGATTCACAGAGTTTGTGGTCAATTATTTGACTCAGTTGACCTTGTGAAGCAGTAATTCTGATTTAAGTTTTAAAGCGGTTGGTTGTTAGTCATAAAAGATGCCCCCTGTCCGAAAAGATTGACAAGTCATATCATTTCACTATTTGCTTTCCTTGAATAGACTGTGTGATTTCACAAATCTAATCCAATATAATATCTATGTACACAACCTGTGTAAAAGTGTGCACTCAGTCAAGTTTCAAAACAAACTCACATCAGAGTAAATATTAATTTCTCGATAAGTGAGTAAGTTTGTGAGTGAGGTTTGTTAGTTGATTGAGACGGCTGAAGTGATTATCTCCTGTTATTTGTTGTTTTCTTTGGAGTGATTTCAAGCCGAAGAACTTGAACACAACGTAAGGAAGTTTCACTCATGTACCTGTGGAATAATTATCTGAGTTATCACCTTTCGCCAGTTGAAGTAGATCACAGTCGTATTCACTAATCGACTCTGTATTTGGGTGCGTGTGTGTTTACTCCTCAACATTTTACTACCCCTCCTTCGGAGTTGTTATAGCATCGTCTCCCTTATTTCCTGCTATGCTTTTGGGTTCGCGAGTCAATACACTTATAATATGTGGATTAGTGCTCTATAACCAAAAATCCTATTGCCAGTAATATCATGAATAATTAACGCCACTGTAGTGTTGTCTTATAAGTAGATATGCGTTGTAGTGAAATAGATGAGCTAAGTGAGTACCTGCATGAATAGATTGAATCCCTATGACAGTTATATTAGTGATTATTTTGTGCCATATCAATTAGGAAGTAGAGTGTACAAATGCGACGAGACCGGTGATGTTCTTCATCTTCATATCAGTGGCATCAATGCATATGATGCCACCAATAGCCTTTTAATTCGCAAGCTTTGTATGTAACGCTACTTAGTAACAATCTGAGGTATAACATCTGTGTATTGGTGAAACTACTTTTCTCATTTGAATGATATTTTGTGACACGCTGAAAGCCAATCTTGTTCATCTCAGTCTGAAGCATTAGTCACATGCCAGTCGACTTTCGTAGCCTGATACACACATTTATACCTGATTTGTAAACATAAAATCTAGCGTTAATGTAAGTGAGCTTCATTTGAGTAAGATTTTGTGGAGTCATATATTGTCTGTTGAAAATGGACAGCAGAGAATACGGTAGCTACACACTGTCAATATTGATGACTTTGTAAGTCTGTTTAAACAGAACCGGATTCCTAGCTAGAAAGCCTTGGAGGAATGGAGTGCTCAGAAATATTTTAGGATTTGGGAATCATCCAGTCCACCACAATTAGGAATATCATTGGTGATAATAAGCACCCTTGTCTGACTCCTGTGTTTACTCCAAACGCCTCGCTGAGTTTTCCGTTGTGGATCACTTGACATGTGCCGTTGTCGTACAGCTGTTGAATAAGGTTGATGAATATTTGGGGTGAGCCGTAGTACTTGAGTAGTTTCCAAATTACTTCGCGGCCAACGCTGTCGAAGGCCTTCTCAAAGTCTATAAAGTTGAGGTAGAGATTTGATTGCCATTCCATGCTTTGTTCTGGGATGATGATGCTTAGGGTTGCGATTTGGTCAGAACATGATTTGCCTTTCCTGAATCCAGTTTGTTCTGGTCGGAATTATGCATCCAGTGCGTTCTTTATTCTCTCCAGGATGATGCGACTCAGAATTTTACTTGGCGTCGACAGGAGCATGATTCCTCGCCAGTTCTTGCAGAGTCCTAGGTCGCCCTTCTTTGGTAGTTTCACGAGGTAACCTTTCCTCCAGTCAGTAGTCACCTTTCCCTCCTTCCAAACCTTTTGAAATACTGGAGTCAGCATATCTGCTGTCGTCTCTGAGTCCACTTTCACTGCTTCCGGGGGTATTCCATCTGGTCCAGCTGCTTTTTCAGCTTTCAGAAGCTTGATTGCATTCAAGACTTCAGCTTTTGTTGGAGGATTGGTGTCAACTTGCAGTTGTTTGCGCGCTGTTGTTGGTGTTTACGGACGCGTTGCAGGTGGTGGTCGGTTCAAGAGTCCTTTGGAATGATCCGCCCATTGTTTAATCTGTCTTTCTCCATTGTTAATTGGGTTCCCTTGGCTGTCTTTTATATGTTTCACTTTTGTTAATCTCTTCCCGGATAGAGACTTGGTTATCTGATATAATGTCCTCAGGTCCCTTTCGCCTGCTGCCTTCTCAGCTTCAGTGGCCTGGTTGTCGTAGAATTGTATATTGTCCTTCCTAGCACTCTTCTTCACTTCTTTGTCCAGTGCTGTGTAAGTTGAGCCCAGCGTCTCCTTCTGTTGTCCGTCTTTGCATTGAGTCATTTTCTCTTTCACCATTCTCCTCTCCTCTATTAGCTTCCAAGTGTCCGTTGAGAGCCATTCATTGTCTTGTCTCTTCTTTCTTCCTAAAACTGTTGAACACGTTTCGTTGAAAATCACCTTCAGAGAGTTCCAATGGTCTTCCACGCATGATTCCTCAGTGATGCCACGTAGTGTTTCCTGCTTTGCTCTGACAGTTGCAGTGAAAGTGTCCTTTGTAGTTGTGTCCTTTAGTTTTTGAGTGTTTAACTTGCATTGTGACCTGTCCCCAGCTATCCTCGAGACTTTTAGCTGCACCTTGAAAGTCCCCTGTACTAGATAGTGGTCTGAACCCACATCTGCTCCTCTCCTCGACCTTGTGTCCAGTAGGTTCCGTCTCTACTTCCTTGAGATTGAAATGAAGTCTGTCTGGTTTTTGGTGTGTCCATCTGGTGAAATCCATGTTGCCTTGTGTATATCCCTGTGTTTGAACACACTGCCACCAATCACCAAATCATTGAAGGCGCAAAAGTCTCAGAAGATTCACCATTGTCGTTCATTTCACCGAGGCCCTTTAGACCCATGGTGAGCTCTCTTCCTGTATTGTCTCCTCCCAGTTTCGCATTCATGTCACCCATCAGGATTCTGATATCGCCATTTGGGACGTTGTCCATTACTGTTTGTAGTTGTCTGTAGAAATCCTCCTTCATTTGTTTTGAGACGTTTGTAGGCGCATAGCTTTGAATGATTGTAACCTAGCTTCTTTTTGAGTTGAACCTAGCTGTCATTATCCTGGAGGAGATTGGTTCACACTGCATGAGAGCTTTGGCTACTGTTGGTGACACCATGATGACCACTCCTTCGGTGTGCTCGTGATTTTCCTCTGGGTGATCAGAATAGACTACTGTCTCTCCAGTTGATAATTGGAACCTACCATATCCGTTCCATCTGCTCTCGCAGATTCCCAACACTTCTATTCCATATCTTCTCATTTCTGCGGCTACTTGGGCAGTCTCTCCAGCGTCGTACATTGTACCAACATTCCACGTCCCCATCCTTATTTTTGCTTTCATCGGAAAGAGGCATATCAGCTGACTGGCTTCCCGAAGGCCCTCATCAGCCTGCGTCACTTTACTTCCCCGATTCAAGCGAAAAATAAGGTTGTTGTTTATATTTTAAGTATTTTTAATATATTTGTACGTTGAAGTTTCTGTAGCAATTTGGTTAAGTTTTGGTGGTGGAGTTGCTACCACCACGTCCCAACCCTCCCTCTTTATCCGGGCTTGAGACCGGCTAAAAAACTAGCGAGCTAGTAATCTAGGCGAGGTTCCATCCACTGTTACTCACTAATAATAATAACTTAATATGTGAATGCTTGGCACTATTGGGACCATAAATGTTGTCACTACAAGTAAGCTACATCCCGTAACATCTGTCCAGTAAATTGTTACGTCATTCGGAATCTCACTTGGCTGCTTGATTTTTTATTGACTTTGTGCATTCCCATTCAGAAGGCAATGATGTATCGCACGTCTAGTTCTTCATTCACTGAAAACTGTGGAGATAGCAGTAATCCCAATCTCGTCACTGGGCGGAATTTTCCTCCTGCACAGACTGTGACCGAGGGAGGTTGCTCTACAACTGAGAACACATGTCAAAATGCACCACTTACGGGTAGACCTGAAGGTATTGAATACAATGTTTCATTTCAGTCCACCCAAAGTGAACAACGAGCACTTCATGATATTACCCAGCAAACGAATTTTTCAGCGGGAAATAGATACGGTATTCGAAGTCCTAAAGAGTCACAGTTTCCACGTGTTTCCGAATTTCGAAATGTTGCAGCTGATGGCAACTTAAGTTTCACAAAGAACCATTCAAGATTTTCACAGCCCTATATATTAGAAGTGAGTGAATGAATTGACATTGTTAGCTTCGTTAACTAATGTGTTTTATACCAGTTTGTTGTCGCAGCTGTTACCTGCATACTGTTTGTGTGTTCCTGTGGAGGTGGGAAGGCAGAAATTTCCAGTTGCTGATGGTTGTTTAGATTTGGATTTCATTTTATCCCTTCATTACTTGCGGATATATCTCTTGTCATATAAAAACGAATTAAGTATTCTCCGTGCTGCTGTGAAATTCGTGTATTCGAGTTCACCGTTTCATTCGAAACTTTTAACATTACGCAATCGCGTTCTGAGAGTCTACGACTAGAACTTCGAACTCTATAAATGAATGAACATTTTCACCTACTTGCATGATGTTCCAGACCAGTTCAAGTGTCGATCATGGTGAATTGAAGATTTTTTCTTGTGTGCTTAGCTTTTCTATAATTGTATTATCTATATTGCAATTATGAATATTTGAATAGCAATGTTTCAGTTTACCTGGTCTATTCCATAAATAATCATTATAACAATTTCAGAGAAAGTAGAAGTGTTGGAGAACAAAATCAGCTCTCTTTTGATATTTCAGTCTACTTGCGAGGCTCTAATTTACGTGGAGCTTGGCGTGAGATAATTGTGTCAGAGGCTTTGGATATCCTTCAGATTAGTGGTTGGAGAAAGAGATATGTATGGAATTGTATGCACAAGTAGTTATTTTCCAGATGTGTACGTAAACGTTGAGTTCTACAACTTTATCTTTAAGCTTTATGTCGAAACTGATAGTCACTGATAGTCTATCAGTACACTTTAATTTTGATAAGTCTGTGGATTTTCAAGGACTCACCTGATTAGGGCGTGTTTAACTCATGCGTGGTGTTGAATTTCTTCAGCAAGCAGTACAAGTTGACGTAGGATTCAGTCGGGATAAAGCCGAGAGCAACGAGTCTAAAATATGACACCATATCGGCAATGTGATGACTGTTGGTTTGACATTTGTAAGGGTGATGATGTAATGGTTGATCCCGTAGGTGTCCTTTTTGTATCCGTTCACATATATAACCAGTGAGTTGGAAATATATTATTATATACATGGAAGGACTTAACAACAGTTATTTAAAAATATTTCAAGAAACTTCAGTAACACACACGCATCACTTCTCCTCGATAGTTGAACATCTGAGGACGGAAGTTTTCCTTATGACACAACTTCTAGCGTAGAAGCAGTTCATCGATGAGTATTATCAAACGCTTCAAAGACTTTATTTAAGTTAATAATTTTATTAGCAGTGATATACATATTACGAATACATTGGCTATGCAATTAAAATCGCTGGTGTGTAGTTTCATATGTTATATTACCATGTGATATTAATAATCGACCTTCACTTGCATTTTGATGGCCCTATAGAATACTATTTGAGGGTAAACATATTCACTTTGAACACTCTAACTTGTCTTGATTTACACGCTACATTTTGTGACATAAACTTCTTTGCTCACATATTATTACTACATTTCTGTTTAATTCATCTTTGCATTACTTCAGAATGTGGTCAACTGGAATGTTGCACTTGTGGATCAGGATCTCTGTTGGTTTTGTTCCCCTAACCCATCCCCACGAATCGAATGAATAAGTTCAAATGCCTTATTATATATTCCACCCTTTAAAAGTTTGAGAGGACGCCAAATGTTATGCACAGATATCAAGAAATGAATATGAATTTCACAATGACCAGGAATAGAATGTTAAAATTTGGTTATCGTTGATGGTTGATTGTCGAAAAGAAGTTTGTTTCGTATATTTTGCTTCGACATACTTTTGACTTGTTAGAAGTGGACAATCTTATGAGAACTGCAAACAGTATTGTTACTTTAGAGGATTGAACTATATTTGATTAGCTGTCACGTTTCATAATCGAAAATTCTGGGAGGTGATGTGATTGGATAATGTTTAGCATGAATATGATGACTTAGACGATATTGAAAGCGCTTCCTAAACAAAAACATAATGTATGTTTCCCGTCTAAAATGAGGTGGGTTTTGGGACTGGTGTGTTTATTCACTGAGCCTACCCAACCAACTAAGACTTATTATCAAATAATTCATGTATCATTTCTGTCCTAGTGATCACTTTGGTTTGAGCTTGTATTATTTAGTGCTTCATAATAATTTCATATTTCATATATAATCATCCACTACTGTTCACACTTCAGTACACTGTTCCCCGCAAGTATCTTTTTTTTTATTTTGTAGGATAGACATGTCTTTGCTGAAAATGGTCATTTAAGAATTTTCCACTCAGAGCCATACATCTTATCAACGAATCTTCAATTTAAAAGTGTTCCAGATCCATCCATAATGAATAACGATGTGTCCAACTCACAGAATATCGATGAAAATATTAGTGAACCTAACACTTCCCACTACGTAGAAAGTGCTGTGGAAAATCGACTAAGTGAAAATGAATACTTGACTACCAATTATGTAGAGGATGAAGAAACGAATACAGCCACAACTGCCTTACTTAATGGTTCTTTGAGGTATGATCAAAATGCTGTCAGCTTGTCATCCGGTATTGACTTTATTGGATTAACAGAAGGAGGTCACGGTATTTTATTAGATTCAAATGACGTTTCTCTGAACAGTATCTATGGTGATAATCTTATCACTAAAAATAATCAGACAAGTTCGTCTCCTTTAAATAATTCCAAGGAGATTCAACAAGGTAATTATCGCTTGATAATAAAATCTGATTTAAACTACTGTACGTTGTAAAACACAGTTTTTAGAGTTAGATTTTTGTCTGAAATCTCACGTCTTTCCCTCAACCATTAGTATTCAAGACTCGTTTATTGTTTTCCCATTTTACTAAAAATTCTTTTTCTTTATATTTCTACATCCGGCTTTACAGTTATTTCACCATAGTAATTAACGAATTATTCTTATTAACAACACTATTGTTTTCAAGTAACATTGAGTCAATAATGTTATTACATTACAGTTCGAAAGCATCTGTGTGTGATAATATGCATGAAAATGTTACATTAAACTGAATATTGGATAAATTGAGAAACGTAGTACAGAATTTACAAATTTATAGGTTCCACAGTAGGCCAGTGCGTCGGTGGCACAGAGGTAGAATGCTCGCCGACCACGTATGTGGTCCGGGGTTCGATCCCCGGCCGACGCACTCCCTTACCTCGCTAAGCCAGTAATAAGACTGGTAAAGAGGGAAGGTTGGGCATTAGACTAGCAACTTCATTCCGTAAAAATAAATACCACTGCTACCGAAATTTCAAGCCTCTAGCTTGAAGCTCTATGTTCCACTGAGAACGTAAAGGAATAAAAAAGCAGTATGCAAGGGTAGCAATAGTGGCTGAGCAGGTTTGGTTTGCATACAGAGCGCCGGTTGTCTTAAGCGAAGTACAATTACCTCTGCCATTTTGAGTGTTCGGCGATTGATTCGGTATTCTATAGGTGGGAGAAAAAGACTGTTCAATGCAGGATGTGTAGCCTATTTGGACGAGGTGACCTGCAGACTTCCGGGTTGGGGCCCTCGGGACTCTAAGAATCAATGGCTGGAGACAATAGGTGACATGGCTCAAAATCGTTGTCAATGGCTTACGCAGATGTATTCAGTCTCTTTAACCTTCATATTCCTTTCTACCATTACTCATTCTGTTTCAATCTTATACTTATCTAAATTCTATTGATTCTCTTCTCTCCTTTTCCCGTCTACCTTTGTGTGCTATTTGGAACGTGGCAACTCGAACTGCTGCACTTCGGTGCCAAGTTCTATGTTGAATCCAGACAGACAGACAGACAGGTGACCTGCTATAGAACTGTTGGTAGTTTTAATCACACTCTATTTAGCGTCAATGGTAGGTGTTCCTGTGCACAAAATATTAGGTTCCTAGAGAGACGGCTAATTGCATATGTGAAGAAATAAATAACAAGTCAATAAATATTGGGATCTCAGAATAAAAATCCTTGAGAAATTGATGCTAAAGTGTATCATGAATTTAAATTTGATGGCTAACTCTGCATTGGCCTCCCCATTGGGGTCCGTGATATCAGACTGCGTTCCATGTAAATCAAAAGTTAGTTCTTTAAACAATCTGATTAGAAAATTTCCATTTTATTACCGATATGTGGATGACAAGTTCATCCCTAGTGAAAAGGATTTGAACAGATGCGCAATAATATCTCAATTCAATAGAGTTCATTCAGCTTTCAAATTCACGTGCAAAGAAGAATTCCAAAGTAAAATCGCCTTCCTAGACATCCTACTCACCAGAAGACCAGATGGAAGTATAAAAGAGAATTCGCTTGAGAAAACACGTGGACAAGACGACATATACACTTTCAAGGCTTTCCTCCTATCCAGTGTAAAAGAAATTTAGCGAAGACTTTCGGATACAGAGTCAGAGCTATATGTTCAGGAGTAGCAATTGAAGACGAACTTAAGGTTCTGTATGAAGAGATGATTGAAAATAATTAACCTGTAAAACTTCATCGCGACACATATGGTCAAGGGAGCAGAAAAGAATTCCTCTATATTTGCTAATACAAGACCTCCGTATATACGACTGCAATTCACAGGTAATGAATGTACCAAGCGAAATGAGCACCAAC